GGTTTTCATAGTGTAATGTTGAATCTGGACAACATATTTTGGTTATTAGATTATAATAGGTTTTATTTCTGCATAACAATAGGTAGTAAGATCATGTTCTTTGTATTTACATACATTTAATTCAGTACAATAATGTAAATATGATTTTAAAATATAACTATGAAAATGGAATTTACATTGACATTTGGAAGCTTAAAAACCTGCAGCAAGTTTTCTGTATTACTATAGAAAAATATGATTCCTGAAAATACCTTTTCAAAAGCTTTTAAACCATGAGAATTAGGAGGTCATAAAGCACCTTGAGAGATTAATTAACTCATTCACTTGCAATTTGGTGGGGATATATATTCTGTTCTGTAAAAATGAGAACCCATACTCTTTTCTTGAACTGGATACATGATCTCATTTTACAATCTACTTTAATAACAATTTTAACACAGTTTTCACTAGTAACATCTTGTAATAACTAAGTATAAATTTAGAATTCTAAATATGTTTCTTCACTCCCATTTATATTTTGCATATGGTATATAACATATGCCTGGGAAACATAAGAAGGATTTCATAAAAGAGGGTATCTGAAATGTGCCTAGAAATGTAGTGAAGCAGAGAGTATTTACCAAAACCTGTTTCTTTTTCTCCCTGAATGCACAGACCATTTACATTTTTAAACTGCACTGAAGTCAAGTATAACCATGTGACTCACAGACGAATGACAGAGAAATGTCCAGGTGGCTCCAGGGCTGGCATACAAAACCATCCATTTTTCCTTTCCTCTTCAGTAATTTGGAAGAGATTAGAGTTCCAGTAGTCTGTTATGTTTTGGATATGAAGTGTCCCCTAAAAGCTCACATGTGAGAGAATGTAAGAAAGTTTGGAGGAGAAATTATTGGGTTATAACCATAGTCATCAGGGATTAACTGAAGTTGTAGGATGTGGCCCAGGGCAGTGGGAATTGGGTTCTGACTTTGGCTGTATGTTTGTATCTGGAGAGAAGAGTTTCTTTCCCTGCCACACTCTGCCATCATGATGTTCAGCCTCACCTCAAGCCCCAAGGAATGAAGCCAGCCTTCTATAGACTAAGACTTCTGAAACCTTGAGCCCTTAAATAAACTTTACCTCCTTACAGTTGTTCTGGTCAGATCCTTTAGTCATAGTATTGAAAAAGCTGACTAAAACAGTCAGTTAGTAGACAACTGTAAAGAAGAATGGAAGGTAATAGTAGTCTATAATCTATTGAGATTATATTGTGGAAGTCTAGAAGTCTCAAGTTTGTCTTAATTTGGTAGGTAATAGGGAAATCTTAAACTCATCAGCAGATGTGTAAACTTGAATTGTAGGAAAAAATGCATTAAACTAGTTGCTATATATAATGTGATTTGGAGGCATAGGTGATAATAAAATCTTTGGAATAATAACCATAGAGTAAAACTACTTGATGTGAATATATCAAGGAAAAATAATTGTATTGCAGAGGTAGAATTTATAAATTTGGCAGTTGATTAGATAGAATATGCAGGAAGAAAAACAATAATATTAATGATTATATAAGCTGATGAGTATTTTTTTATAAAATAGGCACCATGCTAACCATTTCATGTGGGTTATCTCCCTTCACTTTCACAAAAAATTTTTAAAATAATACACTATTTTCCCTCTTTTACAGGAAATAGACAATTTAGTGAAATTTGGTATATCAGAAGTCATATTAGTTGTAAATGGATCAGTCAGAAATTGAAATTATCTGATATGAGGCTCTTGATTTTTAACCAGTTTAATCTAGAATTCTGTTTGTAAAAAGTTTGGTGAGCAATATACAGATGTATAGAAAGTAGAACAAATTCTATTGATACATACTTATTTTGGTAATTTGTTATTGATATAATTTCAAACTCACAGAAAAGTTGGAAGACTAATATAAGGAACTTCAATATATTATTTACCCCAATTTAATAGATATTTATTTTTACACATACACAGTGCACAGAATGACTTTTGCTTTCTTCATTTGCTAAAAGTAAAACAGATCTATAATATTTACATATTGACACTTGAAGCCAATTTTAATTTTCAAATTGTAATTGACTTTTCAGAAAGAGCTCAAGCTAGACATACTTACATGCAATAAATTAGTACAGACAGAGATTGGTAAAATTAGTCAATCAGATTTCTAGGGTGAGATAATACATTAGAAAAGAACAATTCAGTATAAAAAGGATAATCCTATACAAAAATTCCCGGGAAGGAGTACAGAAGCAAACACATTTTAGAAAGATCAAGGAAAAGGTTAAATTTAAAATTCACATATCATACTGATCTCCCATACAACATTTTGATTGAGATACTGAGAAAGTAACCTAAATTACAGAGGTTAAGGGGAATTATTAGTCCATAAGATAAACATACTTTTAATAAAAAATTTCTTCATGTGTTAAGAACTAACACATTTTATTTTCTCTCTGTGGTTTGGCTATTTATGCTTTGTTTCTGGGTGCACATTCTTCAAAATCACTTTGAAATAGCCAGACAGAAAGTTTTGACATGGGTGGTGCCTGTCACCAGAGAGGTGGCCTTTCCAGTGAGGATTGCTTTAATCTTCTCAAGGCTGGACTGGGGAAAGAGATTTCATCTTCTGGGAGCCCACCGTAGTCTTGGATACCCCTAGCTCTGATGATTGTGGCACAAAGGGTGGACATGAGCAAATCACATAGAAATATGCTCATTCTGCTTAACTGAGCAAGATGGGATCTGGTCACATAGTTTATTACTTAGTTACAAAAATAATAGTAGTACTACAAATGTGAGGTACTTTAGGAACATTTGGAAAAAAATACATGTGTGAATATATTTCATAAACATGCACATGTGTACAGTAGGTGTACATATTTTACCTTGCATGATATATGACAAGTTTAGAGAAAACTTGTTTTTTTTTTTTTTCTGTAAAACAGTCGTGTGAATTCATTTTACGAGTTGGGTGAACAAATTCAATTTCAATTAAGGAATGTTTCTAATCTCAATAAAGAAGCTCAATTTTCCTTAAGGACATATATTACCTGCATTTTACCTGCTACAAAGATTATTGTTCTAAGAATGAAAGAAAATTTTTGTAGACAAAGTTCGAGCAAGTTGATGCAAGACATTGTAAGTCATGATATTATTATTATTGTTATTATTATTATTATTATTATTATTATTATTATTATAAAATTAAACTTAAGTCAGATGTGATGTCGCACCCCTGTTATCCCAGCAGCTTGGGAGGCTGAGGCAGTAGGATCTTGAGTTCAAAATCAGTCTCAGGCAAAGTGAGGCACTAAGCATTTCAGTGAGACCCTGTCTCTAAATAAAATGCAAAATAGGGCTGGGGATGTGGCTCAGTATTTGAGTGTCCCTGAGCTTAATTCCCAATAACACAACAACAAAAAATTAAAATTAAGATATTTTCTTTTACCATCTTTTTTTAAAATTATTCATTGTGCTATTATAATCATTAGAAAAAAATACTCTAAATTTTTCTGGTTCAGTTTCCTTATTTTTAAATGGGAAAGGGCAGTACATTTGGAAGTGTCCTTTGCCACCCGTACCTCATGATAGATGGCCTTTTTACTTTCCAAAGTATCTAATAGAAAAACTGTCTTCATTGTAAAGTAGCAAAAGCTCAAGAATGTGTTATCTGCTATCCATATTGACATCAGTGGTGCCTACATTCCTAAAAGCCCAATTCCACTTGGTGAAGAGAAACCATTTAACACTTTTACTTACATTTGCTGGAATTGACATATAAACCCTTATTTACTTCATGCTGTTAATTTCCCTTTCTGTGGACATTATGGAAATCCACCACTATTTGTTTATCTGTCAGTTTAGACAAGTCAGGATTGTGATACTGAAGGCATCTCAAGGAGTCATTTAAATTAACACACAGTGGGATACCCTGAACCTAGGGACCCCTGGAGAGGGAGGAGGCAGCATACTTGCCCTCACACTTTACCATAATAACTGAAACCAGGTGTTCACATAGTAAGAATGAAGGAATATCAGAAACACCCACACCTTGTCTTCATCCTGGAGGGTCATCATTAGTTTTAGAAGAATTGGTGTCTGTGATCATTCTGCTTTCTGTTTGAAAAGGTGGCCAAGGAAAGCAAATGCACCCTCAGGAGCTGAGTGGGTTTTCTTTCAATTTTATATCTCTTTCCTCCTTCCACTTTTTCTGCCACCACTACCTTTCTTCTTTTCTCCCTATTTGTTTTCCTCCTCTTTTGTATGAAAGAGGAACCATAGTGTGAGTGAGGCCCAAGGGGTAAACCTAAACTACCTAAAGCACCTCTATCCTGCACATCAGGTCATGGGCAAATTTTCTGGCTTTCAGGTTGATTCTGGTTCTGCACATCAATGTTGTTGAAATGACTTTCATTTATGAACACTATGAAAGATGTGGTTTATTATAAATATTCTCTATACCATTTTCTACTTATATATTTTAACAAATGTCAAAACTAATTGCAAATATCTGACAAAGATATAGAAAACTTGAATCTACTGGTCCTTAGTTGAAAATTTTAAATTAAGATATATTTTAAAACACTTTTAATTTTAAAATAATTTTTGTCATTTGATTAATTTAAAAATAAGAGTTAGTAAATAAAATATTTCAGTGTAAAAGTGTCATATTAATATCACTATACCTAATATATCTGAATACAATTATGAAACTATGTTGGGTTCTTCATTCCTGAATACATAGTGTTTAGTCTCTAATAATCAAACCATACCTCTTTAAATTCTTTCCTATAAGTTTTAAACAGCCAAACGTCAGAATATTCATAGCATATTTACTGGAAAGTGGCAAGGTATGCTGTTAACACAATGTTAAAATTCTGCTAACATTCCTTTCATACCAAAGACTCTCATTGGAATTCACATATGTCACAATTCAAAAACCTAAACAGAATTCTATTTAAACTTACTGGTTTTGAAGGAAAGAATGTTCAGGTGTTTATTTGTAGCACTTCTGGGAGAAATGCCAAACCCCTTGAACATTAGCATTCCTGAAACTTTACATTCTCTTTTCTTAAAATCATTCTTCTGGAAAAGGTACAGTGTTGTTAAAATGATAGATAATTACACCATGCATGGTAATAACTGTGATAATTTGCTAATATATGAGAAAAAGATAAGCAGTAGATTAAAATAATGAGTAAACACTTTTTATTAGTAAATATACTCAATAAGAATGGACTGTCCAGAATTGAAATACCCAGCTTAATAATATAATAGCAGGGATAAAATATCAAATCTTACCATACACCAGATGTTTTACATGTATGACCCCCTTTCATATTAATGGAAACCAAGAAATGTGTCATTAGTCCAATTTTTAAATAGTAAGTCCAAGGTAAGCAGTAAAACAGTCTTACTCTTTACCTTTGTATTCCCAAAACTTAGAATAAGTTCTGTATATTATAAATTATAAGTAAATATTTATTTTTATAATGTCCATATGAAGTAAATTAAGCCCACTGCAACACAGTGTAAATATAACCATCTTGGATTGCAAGAGTAACAGTTAAAATATCTAATCAAAGTTTCATCCTTATGGTTGTAAGGATTATAATAATTTTGGAAGAGTTACAGATAAAAAGAGAAAAAAATGAATATAGGTCGTCAAATTAGATGATTCAAAGAGACTGAAGAAGGGGTACTTGAGAGGGCAAAACATAAAAGATACAAGGTGCTAGGAAATTGTTGGATGATATGCTGAGGTTATTAACGGTATCTACAGGTGTAATATTGGGCAGATAAAATGTAATACCACATACTTTTATATTATATTCTTCTGATAAAGCATTTAATTTAATTTGCTTATTTTAAAATAAACTGTGAATTCATCAAATGAAGATATTGAGTTCTTTTCATTTTCTGTTTTAAGAGTGAGTGTTAGTGCCTGACAGTGACTAAACTAAAGTCTGGTACTATTTTGCAAGGTATAATTTAAAAAAAAATAAAGAATCAAAGGACAATCTCAATGGTCATAAAAGACACAGAAAGGACAGAATTTTGAGATCAGAGACAGAAGTCGCAGTCTTTGAGAATCATAGAGATAGTGCATTTTGTTTGATAATGAGTTATGGTCACCTTGGTGACTAGTTAAAGTGGAATATTCTGTCATTGATTTTCTAGGTTTTGAAAAGGAGTAAGGAGAGGGATGGTATTTAATGAGAATCTATTTTTAGACCAGTTTCAGATCTTTTCACTTATTTAATTTACTCATCACATAACTCTACAAATTAAACATTGATAATTCCTTTTTACATATATGGAAGAAAGGTTGACAGGGTTAAACAAATTTAAAAATTCAATTTAACTAGTTTTCTATAAAGACAGAGTTTGACACATAGATTTTTTGCCTAGCCACAGTGTGGTGTAAATAAATTCTTTCTCACTTTGTGTCTTTGTTTCCTCTCAATATATATTAGATTTTGACTGTGAGCATGAATATACTTAAATTATTCAATTAAAAATTTGGACTTTAAAATTTTTGCCTCTAAAAATATTTTAATTGAATTTTTAGTTATATAAGACTATGACATAATTATAAAAGCATGGGATATAATTTGTTCTAATTCAGTCCTCAGTATTTCCCCTTCCCCTCTACTCCTCCCACCCTCTGTTTCCTTTCCTCTACTCTTTATTTAATCATTCTGCTATTTAGTTATAGTTATTTTTTTAAATTAGTGTCTTGTGGATGTACTTGATGATGAGATTTGCTGTGGCATATTTATATGTATATATAGCAAAGTTAGGTCAATTCACAGATTTATTTCATTAACTTTCCCTATCCCTCCTTCCGTCCTTTCATCCCCCTTATCTGCTCCTCTGATCTTATTTCTATTATTCTTTTTGACTCACTTCCTATTATTTTGGATTAGCTTGCATATATCAGAGTGAACATTTGACCTTTGGTTTTGAGGGACTGGCTTATTTCAATTAGCATTATTGTGTTTATCTCCATTCATTTAACAGAAAATATAATAAAATAATTTTTATTTATAGGTCAGTAATACTCCATTATGTATATATACCACATTTTCTTTATTCGCCTGTTGAACAGCACCTAGGTTGGTTTCATGGCTTAGATATTGTAAATTGTGCTACTATAAACATTAAAATGGCTGTGTCACTGTAGTATACTGATTTTGAATCCTTTGGATGTATATGAACAGTGGGATAGCTGGATGATATGGTGTATATATTCCTAGGTTTTTGAGAAATTTCCATACTGCTCCAGTCGTTGCAATAATTTGAGTCCCACCAACATGCATGTGTGTACCCTTTTCCCCACATCCTCACAAACATTTATTTTTACTTGCAACCTTGATAATTACCATTCTGAATGTAGTGAGATGAAATCTCAATGTAGTTTTAATTTGCATTTTTCTAATTGCTTAGAGATGTTGAATATTTTTTTTTCATATTTTGTTGAAATTTTGTGTTTCTTATTCTGGGAAGTGTCTTCTTGTTTCCTTTGCCCATTTATGGATTAGGTTATTTGCTTTTTGGTGTTAAGTCTTTTGAGCTATTTGTATATCCTAGAAATTAACACTTTAGAGGTGTGGGTGGCCAAAATTTTCTCCCATTCTGTAGGTTTTGTCTTCTTCATGCTCTTGATTATTTTTAATTTGCTGTGAGAAGTTTTTTTTTTTTTTTTTTAATTTGTTGCCATCCCATTTATTGATTTTTAATTTTACTCCCTGTGCTTCAAGAGTCTTGTTGAGGAAGTTGGTTCCAGAGCCTACATGTTTGAATGTTGGGCCCTACTTTTTCTTACAGTAGGTGAAGCATTTCTGGTCTACTTCCTAGGTCTTTGATCCACTTTGCATTGAGTTTTGCATAGGGTGAGAAATAGGGGTTAAAATTCACTCTACTATATATGGATTTCTGCTTTTCCCAGGACAATTTGTTGAAGAAGATATCTTTTGTCCAATGCATGTTTGGGGCACATTTATCTAGTATGAAGTAACTGTATTTATGTGAGTTTGTTCCATTCTGTTCCATTGGTCTTTATGCCTGGTTTGGAGACAGTACCATGCTGTTTTTGAATTCCGGTATTGTGATGCCTCCTGTTTACTTTCTCACTAAGGAAAAGGCTTGTACTTTTTTTTTTTAAAATTAATTTCATGACTGCTTTTTCTATTTCTGTGAAGAAAATCATTGAAATTTTGTTGGGAATTGCGTTGAATCCTTGTCATGTGTTTGGTAGTATGGATATTTCAACAATATTATTTCTACCTATCCAAAAATGTGGGAAGTCTTTCCAATTTCTAAAGTCTTTTTAAAATTTCTTTCTTTAGTATTCTATAGTTTTCATTGTACAGGTCCTTTATATCTTTTGTTAGATTGATTCCCAAGTTTTTCTTTTCTTTCAATGTGGAACCATTTTAAAGGCATAATGATATGCTGAATATTGGTAAATTAGGTTCATAATTTTTTATGAAGGAAATAATCCTCTAAAACCTACATTATATTCAAATTGACTTGTCACTCAAGTCAATTTGAATATAATGCACTTGAGTAAAGTTCTAATGAAAGTATTTTGGAAATGGATTTCCCTCAACTGCTATTCTCACTCATTTGTCACACACAGACAAAAAAAAATATCCAACATAAAAATCTGCTTCATGCTGAAGATAAATTTCAGTCAAATAAATTTTGCTTATTTTGTTTTCACATTTGATCAATTTCCTGAATGAATGAAGAAGAATTAAGGATACTTTCTAAACAGATAAAATGTTTTTCTCATTATACTCTGAAGTGGTCATAATGTATGAATCATTGTGTGAATATGTATTCATGAGCATGTGTACGTGTGTGTGCATTCATAAACCTTTCCCTGATGGTTCATGGAACCTTTATGTATTGTTTAAGATTAGATGTGCTAATATGCTTTTGATTCAGCTAGTATTCATTAAAGACCCTTAAAACATCGCTGTCACAGAATAATTATTTTCAGAGCTTACAATTGTGCTTTTGATCCTTTTGGTCAATGGAAGTTCAAATATTGTTCTTATTATACTGCTCCAGTGCTGTAAGCAGTTTGATGCATTTTCAGTTCTTGTTTTTCTTTGTTTCTCAAGTACAGATTTTAAGTGTAATTCAAGAATTTTTAATCATATTGTAAAACACATTCAAAACACAGATAATTTGATAGGTTTAGTAGAATTGATTTGGTAAACTAGAGAAATAAATCTGTGGGGGTACCAGGAGGTTGATGAACCATTGTGAATGAATTAGTAACTGTTTTCACACTATGTGTTTTTGAGTTGTATTTGCCAAAGTCACAAACAGTTATATATGTTCCAGCAAGAAAAAATATCCTGAGGAATACTATCAAGAATGAGTTTAATATTCAAAAAGAGTTTTTTTCCCTTTCTTTAAGGAAAAGAACCAATGGATATGTTATGTAGAATGTTCTTTAAGCAATATTTTCCATATGGGCAACTATTTTCATTTTCTTTTCTCAGCATTTGCTAATAATAATGTTCACTTTAATCTTACATTTTATAATATGTCAAGAAAGTTCACTGCAACATAGGAAGATGCACTGACATTAAAGATTCTGTTTCAAAATCTATATCTTAGAGTATTGGGAAAGAAATGAAATAAAATTCTTTTAAACAAATAGGATTCATGTTTTGTTTCAGAAAACCTATAAAGGCAGTTAATTTATCCAGATAGGTTAAAAGTGAACTTAAGTAAATATTAGTCTCATAGCAAAAGTAGAACTTTCCAAAGCCAAGAACTTATTATAACACAGACCAGAATTTGAACTGAATGAAAAAGAAGAAATTCAATAAAATACCTCCATTATAAATACTTTTCATAAAGATTAGTTAAAAACAGAATGTGATATGGCCTCTGTCACATACTCACTCAGTGCAGCATTTCTAATATTTGAGGAAGATTATGTAATGCACAAGCTAAACAGGCATTTATCTTTACCATTCAATTTTATCACTAACTTGAGTTTGAAAACAAGAAAGCATTGTACCAAGATCACATTCTTCTACATTTTTCATATTCACCACTTTATCCTC